AACTGATCTTCCCATGTAACTGTAGTGAATGCTTATGTATGTATACATGTATACATGCAAACTGATCTTCCCATGTAACTGTAGTGAATATAGTGAATGTATGTATACATGTATACGTATTGGCGTCAGGAAGACTCTCGCTCTGGTATGACATTAACAATTTTATAAACGAGTCACAAGCTGGTTTTAGATCAGGATACTCAACCAAAGACCAAAATATGTACTCTCCAAACTACTGCTCAGAAACACATCTCAAATACCTAGGGCAGATTTTACTGCATCTTCATTGACTTTGGGAAGCGTTCGAAAGAAAAAACCATGATGTTTTCATGCAAGTTGAAAACGAGTGAGAATATATGGATATTTCTTATTGTTTTATTTGTTTATTTAAAACGCCGCACTCAGCAATATCCAGCTATATGACGGTCTGTATATAATCTTGTCTGAAACAGACAATCCAGTACAGTAAACTACGGTTATAACGAACTCAAAGGGACTAATAATTTTAGTTCGTTATAACCGTAGTTTGTTATAAGTACATATACAGCATGACTACAGCAAGTAGTCGGGACCAAAAAGTAAGTTCGTTATATCCGTCAGTTCGTTATAAGCGTGTTCGTTATAACCGTAGTTTACTGTATCTGACATCGATCTACGTACCTGGGATATGATGACATGCATCAACCAAGTCGCCGAGCCTGACCACCCGATCCCTTTAGTTGCCTCTTACGACTGGGATTGGTAGCTGAAGACCTATTCTAACCCGGATCTTCAGAGGAACTCTTACAGTTACCCACATACATGCGCTTTGATCTATCCGCATGCGTTCGAAGGGTCTCTCCAAATAGTTCAGCTGTCACACTGGCATCCGTCCTGGAAGTAGCTTGAGACCAAAACTGTAAACGTATGTGATGATTGAAGGGAAAAAGGTGGTACAGGAATATTTATTAGTATCGAAATGCCACATCTTTTTGCAATGTTTAACGACGGATGATGTCTCTTCAATTGCCTTTAATATTACAATGAATAAAAAGATCCCTGATTGATGGTGATTGGAAATACTTATCACTTGTGATGGCAAAATCAACGCAGTCAAGCAGGAGATGCTTGACGATGATTCTCTCATTACAAGGGATACGAAATGGAGGATCCTCACCTTTCAATAACTATTCACGTGTGTATCTGCTGTGGCAAATACGACATCATCGCAAAATCTGGACTGACAACGCAATTAAATGTAACCGATGGTTGGTTTAATTTGATGACATTATGGTTATTACCGAACACTGGCTAGACGACACGCGTGAATCATTACTCCATGACGTGGATGATGACTTTAACAACTATGTAAAATGTCAGCATGGCCACTCATCTCAAAGAGGGGCAGGTGGTATAGCCATATATATTCGCAAAAGTATATGTTTACAAGCAAATGTAAAACTATACGAAGTATGATAGATTATGTGTTCAATTATCTCCAGCATGTTAGTAACGTTGTTGGTTTTACATTAGATACTGGAGTTCAATACTCAGTATCTGACCATTGTCCAATATTCCTATTTTGAGTACTGATTCCCAGCCACGCCACTATGGCGGTGAACATCTTAACTGGCGTAAAGCTAATGACGTAGACTTTATGTTATTCCTCTATGAAACTGAAAATCATTTTAAATGTGCTCTATTTGACGAGATCAGTACGCACCTCCTCATGAATACATTGGAATATATCACGACTATATCCTACAATCGTTACATGCTGCAGCTAAACTAAGTACACCACCTTAATAATTCCAGTCGCATTTAAAACCATGCTGGAAAAAAGACAATTTGAATAAGTTGCATCGAACAATGCGACAGCGCCGTAATGAATGGATCTTTTATGCTATATCCCATGATAAAGTGGATGAAAATAACATTGAGTATAAAAGAGCAAAACATATCTCTAGGAAGCTGCATCGTCATTCCAGACAAAAGCTGAAAGACGAAAAGTTTCAGTAAATATATGAAGCAGCAGAGAACTTTTGAGTAACCAAGAGATATAAAAGAAAGAAGGAACAAACCCAGACTCTTGCGTGTAATGATAAGTCCTGTAATGCACAGGAAGGAATTTGTAATCTGTTTTCCAAATATTTCAAGGATTCGTCAATGCCAAATTATGATGTAAATTGTAACTCAGACTTTACTGATTATGTTTATATTCACATGGAACAGATTGAAAATGATTCGTGTAATGGCCAAGGGGACAGTGACGTTAGTTCCAAGTTGTTATGTCCTTTCACATCTGATGAGTTATTGGCGACTATAAAACGTCTAAAAAGCGGAACGTCGCCTGGTCCCGATGGCATAGTTAATGAACATATCAAATACTCTGGTAGATCTATTGTTCAAAGCCTTTTTACATTCTATTATGAAATTGTTTCTCATGAGTAAGTACCAAAAAAGTTTAATGTTGGAAAGATTCTACCTATCCATAAAGGCCATGGTAAATGTAAAGACGACCCCTCTAACAACAGAGGTATTACCCTCATTCCTGCATTAAGTAAACTGTTCGAAAGACTCCTGTTGAATAGAATTAAAGGGTGGACAATCAAATCTATAGGCTCCTCCCACCTCTTTCAATTTGGATTTAGGAGAGGGGCTGGGGCAGAAACTGCCCTGTTTACATTAACTGAAAGCATAGCTTATTATAACGAAAGACAGTCTCCAGTTGCCACGGTGGCGAATCATTGACACGTTAATCCAGACCAACCAGTGACTCATTATGTGAGTAACGTCCAAAGCCAGTTGGGTACGATGACACGCAATCAAGCAGGTCACCGAGCCTGACCACCTGATCCATTTAGTTGCCTCGTACAACAGACATAGATTGCTGGAGACCAGATCTAACCCTGGGACTGTATATGTTGCTGTTCTTTGTGTATTGACATCAGTTGATTGTATACTACGTGTCATTCAAAGAAATATTTAATATTTATGTATATTTTCACCTTAAATTCAATTAAAGAGTTAGCTACTAAAACAACAACAACGTCCGATTTCACTGCGGTCTAGGCCACGATATCGTTGCAGTGTTCCGTTAGTAGTTGTCCCAGGTGATGTATCACATAGTTCCACGTGCCCACACATGAAGAGAGATTCAGTCCTGGGATCTGTTGCTACCTTAGACTTCTCTTGACTGATACTCATTTTATTGTGCCCACACCAAGTGTTTAATAAGTCTAGTAGAGTCATAAGGTCTTCTTCATTTTCAGCCAGTATAACAATGTCATCCGCATAAGCTAAAACACCATCGTACAGTCGTCGCCTTTGATCTTTCAGCCGAGCATCTTAGTATGTACGAATAACGAGTCGTTTATTACTTAGAAAATATCAACACGATGCACAGCCTCTTTAAGGATGTCAGTAAAATGTACACGCTCAACAAATATTAACCCCGTTCGAATCTCCAAATATGACGTCATGACAGAACTATGTTTTCTCGTAGATAAACCACGCTTCGTTCTTCAATGTTCTTTGCGATTTATCAGGGTTTGCTCAGACAAGATTGCCTAGATTCACGGTATTGAATAGTCGCGTACATTCGCCAACCACTCGCTCCTTTCCGTAGCATGTAAGAAGACTCGTCTCCCTATTGATCATTGTCATGTACGAAAAAAGACCATTCAGAAAAGCGTGTTCAGAAATTGGGGTACTTCGATAAAAATAATCCTGTGTACTTAAACTAATTATGGCAATATGTGATCGTTTAACAAATCACGAAATGATTAAATATGTTTTTTTATAAAGTGCATGGGTAACAAAATTGTATTGTACGAATTGTAATTGTTAATACCAAGAGGGCTAGGCACGGTTAGAGATTCAAATCCACACACGCGCGTGTGTTTGTCTCTGACAATCTATTTGGCTTTCCAAACTTAACTCTTCGGAGAGGTGATAAATATTTTAAAGTATTTGAAATAGCTAAGAGTTTCAAAACAATACATACTTATATAAAACTAATTAATATTAATATAAGGTTACATTTCACATCAATGTGGATGATTTCAAGTTGTTCAGTTAATAAAATCTTAATGGAGGACAATGAAAAAACGAAATCTGATGTTTTGCGGTATTAACACTAAAATCTAATGCAAGTTTAGACAACGGTATTAGTATCTATACATGTAAACTAAATCCTTCATATTCATTTCCATGAAGTCTTAAGTTTTAATTCTGTGAAAGCCTTATCCCTAAGCATTTTTTCGCCAATATCAAATCCTTCCAGAGTTGTACGAGTTGCCATTCGCCTTGTCTCGGAATGACACCAGTTTAGTCACGAATGCGTAGCGTACAAGTGGTTAGCAACCTATCTTGTAATGTATACATGAATGAGTGAGTGAGTTGTGTTTAACGCCGCTTTTAACAGTATGCCAGTTATATCACGGCGTGTCAGCTTATAGTGGGAGAAAAGCCCGAAGTGATGCAGGTCTCAGACGTTCACCACTTCGGTGAAACCCACGAGCACGGGTATGGTGCTGACAAACCTAGAAACATAATCAGGGCGAACCGGGATTCGAACCCACAGGGATCCATTCGTACAATCCGGAACAATCCAGTACACACAGCTGCTCACAGCTGTAATTCCTACTGTCATAACTCGTCAAAATATCAAGCTATCTGAACGGACATTATGACGTCACTTGCTTACCATGTCACAAATGATCCCGATCTTGCTTTGGATTACTCAAAGTCTTAGGGAGGTCACAAGGTAGATCTAATTGTTTAACACAAATATGTCACCGATAATATGCCTTTATAACTTGTGAACTAGTCACACTAAATACATACTGTTAAATTTAATTTTTTATTATTTATTTATATAATAAAACCATATGAGAAATTAACATATAATACTTTTCAATATTTGTTTATAGTTTGTGTTTAGAAACCATGTTGAAGATGAATTTCTTCAGATGTAAGTATATGTACGTGACGGGGTGTGTGTTGGGGGTGCACCCCTGATGGCTGCAGCTGAGAAGGGACACAGACAAGTGTTTGACTTACTTGTGACACAAGGAGCTGATGTATCATTAGTGGATGGGAACAGAAACAACATCCTTCATGTGGCCTGTCTTGGAGGACATGTAAACATGGTGAAGTATGTTCCGTCACAGAAGGTTGCAGACATCAACAGTAGGGGGCAGTACGGGAGGACATCCCTGATGTTGACAGTCGGGGCTGGACACAGACAAGTGTTTGACTTACTTGTGAGGGAAGGAGCTGCTGTATCATTAGTGGATGATAACAGAAACAACATCCTTCAATTGGCCTGTCTTGGAGGACATGAGGACATGGTGAAGCATGTCCATGCACTGAACGTGGAGGACATCGACGACAGAAATAAGCATGATAATACAGGTTTTGATCTCCTGCTTGCAACACAGGGCAACAGTCATGTCTGACAGGGAAGAACAAATCGTGTTTGTGTGTATTTGATTTCCTATCAAAGAAAAAAAGATATTTCTGCTTGCATTTATACCTCGTCACATTGAATTTCGATTCTTTGTTTTGGTCACATGATTATGTGACAGATATCATCGTAATAGGAAAGGACCAAGTATTACCTATTTTGCAGCTGGGTTTATCCTTGAATAAAGAAGCATGTTTTGATGATATACATGTGGAACAAATTCAAACTTCATATCAGGTCCGTTTCCTTTTCTTGAAATTTGACAGCCAATTGATAAAAAAATGTTTTATTATGTTTAACAAATCAGCAAATAATACTTTTTAGCTTGAATCTGCTGAATTTGGTTCAATATTAAGCACATTCTTCAATCAACTAAATATACTCTTAAAAAATGTTTTTGTGTGAAGTAGGAAAATACATTTATACGAGGAACCGTAGAAGGTAGTGAGCCAGAATTTTGTGGAGAGAACGCTTGGTGATTGTAGTCATCTCAGTTATCGGCACATAGGAAAAGTCCAAGGTGAAGGTCAACTACAATCAATCACGCGTGTGTCCCCCATTGGAATCGATAGCGGCCTGCACCATCTGCCCATGGTAGAGATAAGTATGGGAATCACATCCTGGGGGTAGCCCACTCGGCCTGCAACGCAAACGCCAACTGTTGCAACGTCTGGGGTTGTTGTTGACGTCGGCATAGCCGTCTATCCAATTCATCCCACAGATGCTCTATCGGGTTCAAATCCGGGGATCTGGAGGGCCGGGGGTGAACATCAATGTTATTGTGTAGACGGGCTCTTGTGATCCGTGCTGTATGGGGTCGAGCGTTGTCCTACTGGAATACACCGTTGCCCTTAGCTTCAATTGGGAGGACGTGTGGTAGGCAAATTCCGTTGATGTATCGTTGAGCCGTAAGATTGCCCTGGATATGGACCAAAACTGTACTGCCATGATGAGAGATATCAACCCACACCATAACGCTACCCCGACCAAATCTGTCCACTTACTGTACGCAGTTTCATGCGTAACGTTCTTCCCGACGTCTGCAGACCCGTGCTCTTCCATCCCCTCAACGGAGGAGAAATCTTGATTCGTCGTTGAACCAGACATATCTCCATAGCTGTTGAGGCCATCCCCTGTGCTGACAACACCAATGCAGTCGTTGTTAACGATGGCCGATCACGTGTTGACCCATGCTGTTGAAAACGATCCCATTGCCTTTTGGTGGTCCCCGGCGCTAAATTGGAAACCCTGGCTCAGCTGATCGAAATTCCCCTGACTGCAAGCGGTCTATGACGTTGTTTCTTTTCACTCCTGTTAATCTTGGCATGTTGTCAAAACCCTGCACTTTAATACCGTTCATAGTGCTCCTGCACGTGCAGGTGCGTGCAAGCTCCACGACCTTTTCATTAGTGCACTGGGTGCCTTTTTCCGAATCGTACGTGTTTCCCGACAAATGGTTTGCATGTCCTTGTTGTGATCATTTTGATCCGGAAAAATTGTCACTGACACTATAACACAAACTCTCTATTTGGACCGCTTGGTCCACTAATTTTGCATTTATGGCCACAAATATCCGTTTATATACAAATAAAGAATTGCGTTTCTTTTTTTAAAGAGAATATATACACATATATCTTGTTAACAATGTTTTATTACATGGATGTATATCAAATACACCGTGTAGCATAGATTAATTTCAGATATAAGACAGCTATCACAAATATCTGTACAAGTATCACTTGTCCCCATCTTGATTCAAATAAAACTGCCCTCCCTGGAGTTTAAAGATCAGCTGGCATACTTTCTCCGCTTGTTCGGATAATGTTGAACTTGCACTTGTCCATAGGTATAAACACAATTTCAAGATATTATCGTAAATGTACACCTCATCGAAAGCTACATTTAAATCATTAGTTCCCTTATTCTTGTTGGTAGTTATAATATAATAATGCCAAAAATCAGTTGCATGAGGTACATATTTATCATTAAATATTATCATGGTCAAGAATCTGAATTTATCTGACATCTGTGTCAACTTTACACGGCATTACACGGCGGGGGACACCAGAAATGGGCTTCACGCATTGTACCCATGTCGGGAGTCGAACCCGGGTGTTCGACGTGACGAGTGAACACTTTAACCACTAGGCTACCCGACCGCCCCTCGGCGCGAACATTATTTCGAGTGTATTACGTCATGTCAGTTAGACAAAACCTGAAAGACATTTAATACGTTAGTGATACCACGAGCGTGAGCAAGTTGATGGCATTCCAGCATTTGATCATCAGTTTCTGGCAAGCCTGTTGGACGTTACTCTGCCCAGTGACCACGACCACGACGACGGGCCAATCATGCCCCTCGTGGACTTGAAGAGTTGTTCTTGAGAAGCAGGTCTGTGATTGGCAGAGCCCAGGACGACAGGGTTCCCCATGCCCCATTGGTTGTGTCCCTTGGGTGACAAAGCAGTTGATGACAGGGGAGTTCCTAACGTAATACGTCTAAAACCTGCGTCACATCTGACATTCGCACGCAACAGAAATACTGTTGAAAACGGCGTTATACCGAATATACCCACCTATCATCAATACTATTCTAATTGCAGTTATTAATCTGATTTTGTTTGAATTGAATATTGAATACGCCAGAATATTGTCTGTTGTCCTGACAAATTTCATAAGCAGAAAATATGATTAAAGTATGTTGCACTATTTGCAACACAGGGTCCTATCTGAAGCGATGATACTATACTTATAATGTTCATATTGGTAAATAAGCAGACCCATCTACATTGAGATGTTTTAAGGCTTTATTTTCACAATTTGTTTTTAAACTATATAGTGCTTTGACATTTCAGAGATATCATATCATATACATCTCTTATTGTTTTTACACATTGATATGACATGGCGATGGGAAAGATCGTACTCAAGATCTCAGCCTAAAAGATTTGTTTTCTACTTAACTTGAGGAGGATGTACTTTAGGTCAGTGAAATGTACCACTGATCACCAGTGAGGACGAGTGAGGGTCGAAAAGGTCGTCAAAGTACAAATTATGTATGTCATTTTCAATAAAATGTCCTCTGATTTTAAAAAAAATCTTAAGCATATAATGACTATAAACCATATTGATACTAGAAAACCGTGACGCACCTCTTTTCCGTGTGACTGTATTATAAACATTTTTTAGTCGGAATTGTACAATCGATTCTGCTTTATGCAGATATTTCTATGAGATATGACAGGAGTTTTTTCGCTATATTTATGAATCACAATAAAACTGTGTGTAAGAAGTCTGTTGTTACCCTTTATGATCAGGACCACCTCTTGGTCTGGTGGTAGAGCGTCCGCAGGTCAGGGGCTCGATCCCCGGCCGCGTCACAACAAAAGGCGTTAAAAGATGGTACTTCTCCTTACCCTGTCATGGCTAAATCAATGACTTCCCGGCTTGGAATCAGTATACTGTGTCTGAGTGGGGTATTCATGTTAAACTGCGGCATGGTTTCTCACTGCGCTTGTACTATAAAATCGGCATTAGCCGGGACCAGTACAAGCAGCCACACACACACACACACACACACACACACACACACACACACACACACGCGCGTACACACACACACACACACACACACACACACACACACACACACACACACACACACACACACACACACGCACACACACACACACACACACACACACACACACACACACACACGCACGCACACACGCACGCACGCACGCACACACGCACACACTACAATACATAAGTGCAATATTCGTTCGACGCTACGTTAAACCTTATTTCACCTCACCTCTCAATATAATCAGCTCAGTAAATAATGTAATACATTTTGAAAGATAAGCCACGTTTAAAGTGTTTGTGCTACAATCCCAAGGAACAGCAGTACCTAATCCTATTGGAATACTTAGTTTGATCTCGTTCAATGTGTTCTTTACTTTCAAGTTTTCCACACCACATGTTAGGATAGGTTGCACCATAACAATCTCTAGCAATATCTATATCCAGCCCACCACATAGATTATGGAGTTTAAAGATCAGCTGGCAAACTTTCTCCGCTTGTTCGGATAATGTTAAACTTGCACTTGTCCATAGGTATAAACACAATTTCAAGATATTTGTACCAAGACACAACCTTTATTCCCTCAGGATACCCCCAGTACCACATTGTTTCTTCAATTATTCTCTATTCCGAAACACAACGATCTGAGATTTATTAATGTTTTAAAGAAAGACCCCTTCTGTTACAAAATAATTAATTAATCAATTAATGAATCAATGTTTATTTTTTTCATGGCGAACTGACCTAGTCTGTACAACCATAATAGTGCAATTGTATAACAAATGCGCATTTATATCTCGCACCACAAATGTTTAGCACATTATATATATATTCCAAACATGAATAAGCCCTTGGGTCAAATATCTGTCTTAACATTCGATAACATTGATAGGGGTATATGTTTGCAGGCATTGTTATTGAACTGCTTGTTGTTGCTTTATATGTATTTACAATGTTTAATACAATGTGTAAGGTCAAGATAAGGATATTTTAAGAGTGCTTCAGTAATTTCTTGCCAAGCGCAAAGGGTAGTTACTATGGTTTGTGAACCGGTGGAAACTATGTTTTTTGAGAGAGGCAGACATGCCGGTTGAGTGAGAAATGCTTGAGAAAACACATTGTGAAATGTGTTTTTAGTTTTCGTGTGAAATAGTTTTCGTTCGGTGTACACAGTTTTTATGTACTGTGTGCATGAGAATAATGTTTCAGTAAACATGGCAAACTCTGTATGCAGCATATTATGTACATGTGTAATTTCAGTTTGAATTGTTTATTGGATGTTTTAGTGCTCAGTGAAACAATTTACATTGTATATCCAAGTTTTCTATCTCTTACAGTCAGCCAGCTCATCTGAGAGAATTGTGAAAATGAGACAGGAACAAAGAATAAATTGGATGAGAGAGGAA